TCACTTCAATATCTTTGACCTCATGATTCACAGTCAAAGGTACTGCTTCTCCTTTTTGATGACCCTATGTACTGCTTGATATCCTTTCAAGTTGTTGAACTTTATCTTTAAATTAACGCACTCATGCAGAAAATATGGATTTCCAACTATTTCCATTTCTAACCATGACTCCTTTTCATCTCGGTTTAACACTGCTTTGTCCCTTCATACACTGGGTGATTATTTGTTTGTTTCTTTATCACATTTTTATTTGGTATTTCTTTTTTTAAAGACAATTCTATTTTATTAAGTTAGAATACGAAACTCAGGAAAGAATTTGGAAATGTATTTATCTGATTAATTATAATTTTTAAGGGCCCTTCAGAGATACAGTGCCCATTTCCGGTTCTCCAGACTCCAGATTGATGTACAGATTGAATCAAGACTAATGCTTGTAGCAGACATAAACCAGAACCAGAGTTGAATGACAGAAATGGTGACTAAGACTTGCCTTATTCTTGACGAAAGAGAGTTCATCTTTGTCTGGCATATAGGACTTCAATTTGAGAGAAGGCGAGTGCATTGTTCCATCAAAAGAGACCCTTTTTTGTTGACCCACATGAAATTGGTTCATTAGTAACTGTATATAATATTAGCATAGTTGGACAGAATTAAGGAGGGACATCCGGGTGTGTTAATGCTCCATTCTCAGATGCCCATATGTCTAGAATGTTTATCATCCGGGCAAGTGATTGGTGACTCAATGATTATAAATAGACCATCATGGAGATGAGAGGTGTCTTCCGTCAGGGTACATCATATGATGCATGCAGTTGTGGTAGGAGGAAGGAACGAAGGAATGACAAAGCAGATACAGGGAAGAGAACAACGATAAATACTAAGAAACCAGTGTAGAGGGAAGAAACGCCCAGTCTGAAATTACGTCCCAGAATAGGGTTGCTTATTTCTTTTGTCCACACTGCTTGATAATCTTTGAAGTTGCCAATCATCTCAAATAATAAATTGTAACTTTCTTTAAATTCACTCACTCTTGCTGAAAACATGGAATTTCCTTAATTATACACAAGCTCTGGGGGTGGGGCCCCTATCCCACAACCTTCCCTGCTTTCTTTTGTTTTCATGCACTACTTATTGGTGTCCTTTTCTCTTTATTATTATTATTGTTATTTTTTATTACTAAAACATTTTTCTGTGTTTGTTTCTTTATTGAATTTTTATTTGATATAGTGGTGGTAGTGGGGGCACTTCATTGAACAAGCTGATCCTGACCTATCTACCACTACACTTGGATGACCTAAGGTTGATATCAAGAAAAAAAGTTGAATGTGTTGATTTAATATTTTGCATCAAATCTTAAAGAATTTTACAAACGTGGCATCTATAAACTTGCTGATAAATGGAATTAGGTGCTAGGAAGCAATAGAGGTTGTATTGATGATTAAATATTTCTATAAGCATTATTATCATCATTTGTAATATATGTGATAAAATCGAACAGAACTTTCATTCTAATCTGATATATTGTTTGTGTGTACATATTTGTGTGAGAGAAAGTTAATATTTACTAGGAATGTTAATGATTAAAATCGGTGTTAACGTTGCTACTTATTAAAGATTGTCACTATCATAATTATGTGTAATTATGTTAACCAAACCCTCTGTTTGCTTTCACAAACTTAAAACGTCTAATAAATCTCATATATGTACTTTTTATTTTGTTAGAAATCTCAGTTGATGATTATTTCAGCTTTTAATGTCTTTGCAGTGTAAGATATAGATTTAAAATTTTAAAGATTTCAAGGCACCAATTGAATTAGTTGAGCTAATAAATTATCTGCCAGTGTATGAAGGATTTTATGATGATTTTTGATACCAATACTAAATGTACAATTAGCATATGTTTATTTATAGCTAGAAATGTAATTTCCTTTTATTTATTGCTAGAAATTTAAATGTCATTTAATTTCCTTTTATTTATTGCTAGAAATTTAAATGTCATTTAATTTCCTTTTATTTATTGCTAGAAATAAAAAAAATGTCATTTAATTTCCTTTTATTTATTGCTAGAAATAAAAAAATGTCATTTAATTTCCTTTTATTTATTGCTAGAAATAAAAAAAAATGTCATTTAATTTCCTTTTATTTATTGCTAGAAATTTCAATTAAAATGTATTCAAAGTTATTTCATGATTGCTGTCCTCTTCTAACTCATTTTTGGTTGACAAATTTGCCATATGCAAAAGCCATTATGTCAGAAAGATGAAAAAAGCTTTTATTTTACACAAGAAATATTTATTTTTCACCATAATTTGGTAGCAAATATTAATCACATAGATTGAATATTATACAGTGAAAATTTCAGCCCTAAATTCAGCTGTGTGACTTATTGATAAACCCTCATATAATCTTTATTCATTACTTATTTTGTTTATTTCCATATTTTCAGATTTAATTCAGTTAATTAACCAAGATATACGGTCCTTATATTGTTTTAAGAACAAGGTTGGGGAAACCCTCGGAATTCTTAGAGTGCTTATTGAAAGTTTTGGAAGGCAAACATTCATTTGAAAATATGATTTTGGCAAATTGATCTTCATTGATGTGCCATGTTCCATCAAGACATGTGCAATCATGATTCTCCACAACTTCTTGTTTCTCATAGCTGTAAACAACATTTGACCTTCCATCTCTGTCCCTGTTCTGTCATTCATTCACACAAACTCATTTGATAAACTGCTTGCTGTTTCACTGTGTAATGTTTGGTCTAAGTGAATAATGGAGAAGCATTTAGCCAGGTGCATTGACAAAGGAGTGTGATTATATTGAAAAATGCTTGTGTAAAATAAATGCTTCTTGTCATCATTAAACTACAGACACTACCCAGGTATAATTTTACATACATACACACACACAAACAAACAAATGAACTGAATGTAATGCATGTAATGTTCGGTCCCCCCACTCTTAATAAGAGTTATTAAAGGTGTGGGCTGGAGACAGATGGTCATGACTAATATGAGTAAGTAACATTTTTATATAAAGCTTACAAATACAACCTGATTTGAAACATTATGAACATACATTTTTGTACTTTCATTCTGGCTGAAAGACGACAAGCTAGCAAATGAACATTAATGGTTAAAAAACAAAAAAATGTTTTGTCTTTCATTCTGACCTGAAGATGCCTGCCTAACACATGAAGGCGAAATGCATTGTCATTAAAAAGCTTTTCCACTTTGTCTCCTTTCTCCACTTTTGTTCAGATTTTACATCCTACTAATCCGTATTAATGCATGTAGTTTTTGTGGTGGTGTGTGTGTAGGGTGATGGTGAAGTCAGCAGGTATTCTATTATTAAAATGAAAACACTTTAAGACATTTTTCTTATGCTTTTCATCTTCAGGTAAATTTTTTTAAACTTATTTTATCTTTAAAATTAATCTGTGACTTTTCCACGTATACATTATCAGACATTGAAAGGACAAATAATGCTATTGAATATTTGGAAAAGTATTGAAATATCACATCAAGTAAAAGTAGCCTCATTATGATACATTTTGTTAATATACTTTGTATGTTTCTATAAATATTGGGTTGCTCTAAAAAGCTAATTCAATTTATTAAGTAAATTTACTACTTAATAAGCAAACAAAATGTAAAATACAGGGTGTTCCTAAAGTCTGAAAACATAGGTAAAAAATGTATATTTTCAAGAAATTAAATTTTCAACAACATTTTATTGAATTGGAATATTAACAAATAACATCTTCAAAATGATTTCCATCATTTGTGATGCAAAGGTTGATGCACTTTGCAAGATTCACATGAACTTGATGCAATAACTACACATTGCCATCAATTTTAGCCCATTCACTCTTTATATGTTCAATCAAGTGTGTTGCATCTGTGAATTTCATTGAGTACACCTTCTCCTTTAGCATGTCCTAGAAAAAGAAGTCAATTCTTTCTTCTTTCAGCAAAACCATGTTTAATCTGTGAAGATAAAAAGAATTTAGTTAATGAGATTTCCTATATGTCCAGACTTTAGGGACACTCTGTACATGTAAAAAAAAAAAAATTATTAAAAAATGACTTTGGTTTGTACAACTGAGCCTCGTGCATAATCAGAAAATAAATTTTATGTATGCTAGTTTGATTAACAATAATGGCTAGTTTATATGAACATAATGGCTGGCTACTCATTTCCAGTCACGCCCGTTAACTAGGGTGGCTAGCCAGTCTTTGTTGCAAATGCCTGCTCAGATAGATTTGTGTTTGTTCAACACCTACAGAGTCCACCTGTGGTTTATACTGCAATTATGCTAAGTGGGCCTTAGTTTCAGTTCCTGGGAGAGAGTGCACAATCTAGTGGGATCACCGGTTTGGGCAAGGCCAGTATGCTCAAACCCTCGGTCACGATGAGTTCTGACTTCATGTTAGCACAACCATCAACAGCTTTTGAATAGTTCCAGCTACCCAATTTCACTCCCAAGACTTGAATCAAATGTGGTTTTCATGCACTTTCCAATGAGGTTACATGCTGGGATTGCTAGACTGATAACACTTGGAAGTCACCTCTCCAACAAATTGACCATGGTGCGATTTGAATTCTAGTCTTGTGGTTGGAAAGTTAATGCTTAAACCACTTGGCCATGCTCACATATGAACATACTGTAGTGGTAAAAAAAATTAACTTTTCAGATTCTATATAACTGGGGTGGACTTCCACTTTTTGCCTTGAACCCCATGAAGAACATAGACTGGCACCTGGAAGTTTTCGAGAACCACCCTCTCACTTATCTGGAAATTCAAGCCAATGCTGTCTTTCAGTAGGACATTTCTCTGGTACACACCGTGAGGAAAAATCATGAAGTGGCTAGGATGACTGACATCCTGAATGGGCCTATTAACCACCCAGATTTAAACCCTATTAAGAGCATGTGGGTCACTATGGAGTGGAGAGTTGTTGAGTGACACTGCAGTAGCATTAAAGAACTGAATATGGTCATATCATGTTAAAACACCAGTTCCTGTATGAGCACCAAAGTTAAGCAACATTGAGCATGGTCAGTACCAGGATGGGTGACTGCTTGGGAATATCTGGTGCTGTAAGCTTGGATACATAGGTGGTCTAATGGATAATGGCTTGTAATTGTAATCGAAGAGCTGAGTTCCAATTCCTGTTGGATTTATTATATTCACTTATGCACAAATATCCTTGGGGAAAGGTATTAATCCACCTCTTCTCTCCCAGCTATGGGTTAATTAATAAGACTTGTATCACTAAACTATTATTATTTCTAAAAGATTCTTATAATCTAAATGTTGTAGTATACCTACGGACAATAATAGGTATGTCCCCATTCACATAAATAAAATAGTAAATACTGTATGTTGGTCTGCAGTTCGTTATGGAATTTACTTGACTCACTTCTAGCAGTTAACTACTTCTACACACTGCTGGTGAATCTTATATATGTTGTTTGTGTCCTGAGTATTATCGTTCATTACCAACCTTTGTTTGATTATTCTGTTCAGTAACTTTCCCTAGGTTACAACACTAAAAATATTTTCTGGCTTTAAATAACCTGCAAAAGATTAAGCTGTAAAAAACAAATCAATCATATGTTTCAGTTTTGTGCCAATGTCTGAGTTCATCCAGTGATGTTATCAGTTCATTTATTCCTTTGTTTCTTCTTTTGCCTAATGGTGTACCTTATTTACCTAAACAGAGAAACTAATAAAAAATTATAGCAAGACAAATTCATTGTGTGGATTAATTTCAAAATGTAATAATTAATCTGGATATTGCTGTATTAAAATTCAAAGTATATCTAGTGAATTATAGTTCACTACAGTTTTATAAAAGTAAGATAAAAATCATGACAATACATAAATTCTTTGTTGTCAAAACCTTGCTTGAGATTTGCCATTGGAGCTCAAGGCATGAGCATGTTGGATTTTTTATTTTTATAAATCTAAAAAAATACGACTAGATTCTCACTGGAAATGTTTAGCTATTTAAAAATGGTCAAAATGAGATAATCTTACAAGCAAAACAAGTAATTTTCATTTCTTTCAAATCAAATTAGTCACTACATAACTACTGGCAGTATTCCAAGAGAGGTTTTTCCACTACAGAGACTTCTGACTGTCAACAATAAAAATTAGAGTAACCATTATGGCTGAATTCTGTAAACACAGTGGTGGCAAAAGAATTCCTAAACATTACTTAAAGTCAACCTGGTTACTGAAAAGTAAGCAGAACATTTGAAACAATAAACAATTTACTTTACATTGCAAGTTTAGAAATTCTTAAATATTTAGTACTACAGCCATTGTTCTTGATCCTTCTTTCAATTTGGTAAGACATGGAGGGCACCAGATTCCAGTATATTTCAGTTGTCATTTCAGAAAACCAAATTCATTGATTCATTTTCTTTACAGCTTATCAACCCTTTGCATGTTATTTAAAGCCAGAAAATATTTTTAGATTGTAACAATTTTTATTTATTTATTTATTTTTTTGAGATAATAATAGTTTAGTGATACAAGTCTTACTAATTAACCCATAGCTTGGGGGAGAATAGCTTTCCTAAGAGTATTTGCCCATATGTGAATATAATGAACCTGACTGGAATTTGAACTCTGATTTCTGAATTCCAATTTCAAGCCATTATCCATTACATATCCAAGCTTATAGCATCTGATATTCCCAATTGGTCACCCATCAAGGTACTGACCAGGCTCGATGTTGCTTAACTTTGGTGACTGTACAAGAACTGGTGTTTTAAACTGATATGGCCATAAGCCCTACCCCTCCCATTAAACATATGGAGGGAGTTGGTCAGGTGCTCAGCTCTGCAGTGGCCTAATGACTACACCCAGTCATTAGACGGATGATGGATAATGTGTTTTAATATTAATTATACAAGGGTGAATTAATATGTGCATAACTTGACACAGTCATTTGCTGAATTTTGTTCTGAAATCTTTCAATTTATAATGTTTGACTTATGCATTTAATATTCCCCACTGAATTAAGTGCATTGACAAGAGAAATTATGCAGAAAAACAAATACAAGTTATGTGAAATGAATATGTTTTTTTTTATCATTAGGTTACAATTTTATTGATGTAACCTTTGTATTCTATTAGTAAGAAGTAAGGAGACATGGTGGAGTAATGGGTAAGTGGCTCAGATTGAGGAATTGGGGAGCCAAGTTCGAATTCCAGTTGAATCCATTACATTCACCTACGTGCTAATACCCTTGGGAAAAGTATGAATCCTTTTCTTCTCCCCCCAACTATGGGTAAATAGCAGGACAAACTGGGTTTTGTAGCCTTGGATGGCAACTGGGCTACTGCAGAAAGAAATGGCAACCTACTGTGGGAAAAAATCTGCCTTGTCAGTCATGTATTGAAAGATACATGATCGCCTACCTGTGTATCACAAATGGCATATAAGTGACTGAGTAAGAAATAAGTTTCATTCAGACAGTTTCTTCCCAAGAACTGTTGCTTTGTGGAACAGACTCCCAAGAGGATGCTTTCCTCATCACTATAATCCTAACCTCTTTAATTCTAGGCTAACTGTTATCTTCCTACATAACTTCATAAATAGCACTTCTTGCCTTCTCTTATGCTCATTTAACACTATTCAGTAATACTCTACCTTGAGTGGCTCTTTAATCGAATATTTGGTGCACATTAGTATATAAAGAAAACAACTATGTAATAGTATACTAATCTTTTGGTAATATAGTTAATCAGTCTTTCCCTCTAGTGCAGTTTTTCTCAACTGGTGTTCCCCAAAACCTTACGATTCTGCAAAAGGTTGTGATAAATAGGCTAATGTATTTTTGAATAATCTTTGTTTAATTTTATATTTGTAATTTTACTATGCATGTACAGTATATCATTGTAAAATCCTTTGTTATTATAATAAAAACTTCAAGGCGGAATGGAATTTAGCGATGTCTATATGGCATCAGTGTGAAACCGCCTTCATTGTTTAATGGACAAGACAAGTAAATTTTATTTGTCTTTTTGCCATTTCTTCTAAATCCTGTTGTACCATCGATTTAGGTATGTTACCAGCTGTATTCCTCTGTCCCTCATATTAATAGTGTAATGGTTAACAAGGTTGTCTTGCTAGGTCAATTATGACAGTCTTAGTAATAATATAATTGATAAAAAGGTACTGTTGATTATTTATGGCTAATTTGTTTAAATAAAGCACTGAGGACGGAAAGTATGACTGAAATACAAAGGTGCATTGGGATAGCGAAACTTTCCTTTCAAAAGATAAGAAAATTATTAAAACACAGGAAAATTTTGTAAGAAACAAAGAAAAGACTGCTGAACTCTTACGTGATACCAGTCTTCCTCTATGGCAGTGAATGCTGGACAATCTCTTCACAGATGAAGACTTGAAGCAACAGAAATATAGTTCTACAGAAGGATGTTGAGGATACCATGGACTGAACATATGTCTATGTTTTAGGGGAAATGGAAACAAAAATGACACTTATACTCAGTCTCAGAAAGAGACAGTTGGAATTTTTAGAGCACATAATGAGGAAAAGGGTCTTGGAAAATGTTAATTACATGTTTTTGATGTTAAGTATGTATTTATTTTGTTTCCATTTTCTCAGTATCCTTCTGTAGAACCACATTTCTGTTGCCTTAAGTCTCTTCTTCATCTCTGAGGAGATTGCCCGGCATTTACAGCCATATGGGAGGACTGGAATTACATAACGGTTCAGTTCTTTTTTCTTTTTCTAATGAACTTTTCCTGTTTCTGAATTCTTTACTTAGCTTTTGGAAGGCATCTTTCACTATCCCAGTGCATCTTTGGATTTCAGTGTTGCATTTCTTAGATATTTAAATTTATATATTTGCTGATTTTAGCATCTCCAATTTGTAATTTGCATGTTGAGCTGTTTGTTTTGCTAACAGCCATACATTCTTTCTTCTTGCAATTGATGCTTAGTTCTTTCTTCATGCTTTCCTTCACTACCTTTTGTAGGAATTTTTGTAGTTTCCTTTCTGTGTCTATCAACACAATTGTCTGTATGTCTCATGTTGTTAAGATTGTAACTACCACTAATGAAGGACTTCTAATTCTCTCAGAATCACCTACCTGTATAATTCCATGCGTTGTTGCTCATTAACAGAGTTGATGAATTTTATGAAACCTTCAAAAGCAAGTAGAAATTGTATACTTTAGTGCTATCAGGAATTTTATTCCTCTTTAAATTTTTCCAGCCACAGGATTCTGAAAATAGCTTAAAATCATGATTAATAAAGTTCTAGTCAGTTTCATCATGCTTGAACTAAAATTGTTATACTTGCTGATTTTGGCATCTCCAATTTGTAATTTGCATGTTGGGCTGTTTGATTTGCTGGCAATCATGCATTCTTTCTTTTGAAAATTGATGCTTAGTCCTTTCTTCTTGCTTTCCTTTACTACTTTTTGTTGTAGTTTCTGTATTTTCCTTTCCTTGTCTGTTATCAACACTGTGTCCTCTGCATATCTAATGTTGTTTAGGTTGTGACCACCAATAATGAATCCTAGTAAAAATTCTTAATTCTCTCTGACTTACCTTGCTGTAAAGTTTGAATAAATCTGGTGAGATGACACATCCTTGTCTTACACGCCTTTTTATTTAAGAACAAGAAAAATGTTAGCTTCATTAATGCTATAAATAAATAAATGCAGAAATAAGAAAATGTGCAAAAAGCAAAAAGAGCTGAATGCTTGACCCAAGATATTTTTGAATTGAAAAAGAAACTAATAATTCAGACTATTAACAACAGTGGTTAAAGATATTTCTTTTAATAATTTAATCCCAAGCAAGATGATAAAGCTATTATTTACTGAGGATGAAAGACAGTAGAGTGTAGAAAACTTTCTGAGGACAAAGGACAATAAAAGAACAGGTCTCAAAATAACAGATGATGATGCTTGAGGCTGCATTTAAATATTTGAAGATCGTAGATGACAGTATGCAATAAGCTGGAAGAGAGCTCTGCAAGTAAGAAGTGCGAAAGAAGAAACTATTAGAATAGAACATCTAGCAATTTCAACAATAAAAGGATGAGACCTAGCTGCCAATCTAGTACTGCACTTACATTCATGGTGTCGATGTAACAAAGAGGAAAGTTCATTAGAACAATTGCCATGGAAATATTTATAGAAAAGACACAGAGAAGCTACGTTACGGTGGTGGGAAAGTGAATGAAGCCAAGATGCCAGCTCAGGACCAATTACATTGCAGATTCTTTTTTGGGTTTTGTCAAGAATTTCTAGATATATAGCAGAAGCACCAGATCAGATGTGGCAGCAATATTCGATGCATGAATGAATGATAACTTTATAATAGTGTAAGATAGAGGAAAAATTGTCTAACATGACAAAATAAGCAAACTTTCGTAACATAAGACTTATCAGTTGATTTGATATCAGGACATCAAACAAGCTAACACCTTTAAATAAATGTCACAAAGAGAAACATAGAAGCTGGACAAAGAAGTACATGAAAACTGTTTGCTTAACAATAATTTTTAATGATCAATGTAGCATAAAATTGGTTGGAGCTGATAGGTTAGAGCAGTGTTTCTCTGCCAATGTTCCTCAGAATCCCAGGGTTCCACAAGAGGTCGCTAGGGGTACCATGAATAATGGTGCTAAATAAGCTAATGGATTTTTGAGTAATTTTTGTTTAATTTTATATTCATAATTTTACTATATACTGTGTATTTTTGGAAAATCCTTGGATATTATAATAAATTATAATGATATTGGTTATAACATAAAATCACTTAAAATATCAGTAATATTTTGTTACTAAAAAAAAAGTCTTTGAAATTATTATTAAAAATATTTACCCTATTTTCAGCCATAAATTACTCATGATCGTATAAGACTCAGATGAGTCATCAGGGGACAAGTGTATCCAACAGTGCTGTGTAGGTGTTAGTCTAGTACAGTGTTTCTCAATCGTCGTTCCCCACAACCCTACAGTTCTGCAAGTGGTCCCTAGTGGTTCCACAACAAGCAGTGATAAATAAGCTAATTCATTTTTTGAGTAATTTTTTTATTAATTATATATTCATAATTTTTACTATACATGTACGGTATATTGTTGTAAAATCCTTGGTTATTATAATTTAAGGCTTCAACCTCTTATATTATTTAAAATTATAATAATCATGGGCAATATCTATATAGCATCAGTGTGAAACCGCTTTCAGTAGTTAATGGACATGACCTGTATGTGGTGGATTCATGTATCATCGAGTGACTCACTTGATTACAGGCTGCATACACCATGTCAATATATTACGCTTACCATTTGAACTATGATAAAAATATGAGAGATAGATATTAATAATGGTATGTAATAATTTTTATGCAGGGATTCTTTGAGACATGAAAACTATTTCAAGGATTCCACAAGGGTAAAAAGGTTGAGAAACACTGGTCTAGTGCATAATCTGTTTTATTAAAAATATTGTTTTTTTTAAAGATTAGAACTTAAATCTTAAGACAGAAAAAGTAACCTTTGGACATGTTAATTACAGTTACAGATTGAATAATTGTCTACAATTTGAGCAAATTTTTATTATCCTTATATTTAGTAGCAGAGTTGCCAGATTGAGCTAACAAGTAGACCTGGGCAACATTTGAATGCCCAACCTTACTAAATTCTGAATTGATTCCCTACTGAATAGTGAAATTCAAAATTTATTAGTGTTGGTCAATCCTACTTGGAATGCACCAGCATCAATGACTATTTCTTTAT